GAGAAGTGCAGCAAGAATGGAATATTTAATAACTACCACTTTGGGGAATATAAAAGAGTAAATTGAGCCTGGCATGGTGGCACATGCCTGAAATCCCAGCAACTTGGGAGGCTGAAGCAGGAGTATCGTGAGTTTAAAGCCAGTTCAGCAACAGCGAGGTACTAAGCAACTCAGTGAGACCCTGTCTCTAAATAAAATACAAAATAGGGCTGGGGATGTGGCTCAGTGGTCAAGTGCCCCTGAGTTCAATTCTGGGTACCAAAAAAAAAAAAAAAAGAAGAAGAAATTGAATCCCAACCTCATACCCTATACAGAATTACTTCCAGATAGATTGGCAGCCTAAAATGAAGAACAAAACTTTAAAGCTTCTGAAAATATAGGATACTGTCTTTATAATCTTTATGTGTGAAAGAAGGCATCATAACCAAAGATAAACGGCAAATTAGACACAATATCTGAAAATAAATAATGGGCAAAAATAGTATTCAGAACATATTGAAATTATAACAAATATGAAAAACATAGCAACCTCATAGAAAAATGAACAAAGACAATTTACGAAAGATCAAATGTAAACAGCCAATATACAACATGTAAAGATCCTTGACCTTAATTAGCCATGTTTATATTAAAGTCACAATGAGATGCCACTTAAAACCCAGCCAACTGGCAAATTGTATATAACTTGTAACACCAAATCCTTGCAAATCTATGGCAAAACAGGAATCTCCTTTACAGCCTGGGTCAGTGACACCCGGCAAGCTCTTTCCAAACCCAGAGTGCCTAGACGAGAACTGTAGCAGATGACTGTGATGGGCTCTTGCTGTGTGCCCTAGTGAAAGTGCACTCTTTGGGGGTCAGGTCCTCTAACCCCACAGAGCCAAGAGTTGTGGGGACAGGAAGAATAAAGCCCCTGGTGGGTCACCGAGAATGGTAAAAGGAACTAATCTTGTTTCCACCCCTTGCTTTCAAAATACGTGCGTTGTCTTCTGGGTGGCATGGCATGCCAGTGTCTTTGGGGTCTTTCGGGGAGGGCCTGTCCTGTGTCCTGAAGGACGGCACACACCCTCAGGGTGCCATCTCTGAGTTGGTCTACCCCCGTGTCTTGGTGCTTTTTCCAGACAACAGCTTCTGGGCAGTGCACTGTATAGTGAATAGGTGGAACTGTGTCACGAGCCACAGATGTGTCCCCTATGCTATGAAGTCTGTCACCTGCTCTAACCTGATAGTATGTTGTTGAGCCCCTGAAGGCAGAAGAGGCAGACCCATTCCAGGAGTACCTGTCTCTTACGGGAACATGCATGAGTTCTCTCACCCCTTGGCCCCTCGTGGTGGATCGATCCCCTTTAGCTGGTTTACAGAGTCCCCATACAGCCACAGGTATGGAGTGAGGGACGGTGTGGGCACACCCCAGTACACGCTGGGGAGGCTGGCTACCTGTTCACACAACCTGCTTATGCCCTCTGGCCCTGCTCACGTGTGATCCTGGATATAACTTCTCTTCCATGATGGGTTGTGGCTGCACCCACTGGGCTAGCTCTCGATGGTCAGTTTTAGCGCCTAGTCCCCAGGATTCCCCTGGGTGGTCATTCAGTGGTGAGCATCAGTCGTACCCACATCAAGGTCTTGAAATGCCTTTTCCCATCTAAAGAACCAGTGCAGGAAGTTGCCCTCTGAGGACAGGAGCAAGTTGAGGCACATTGTGATGCGGGTCAAGTAGCCAGCGTTCTTTAGCCGACAAATAAAAAGGAAAACAATTGAAGCAGGACTTGTCAATGGAAAGGACTTAAAAGTGCACCAAAATTTTAAAATAAAAAAGACTAATATAATGCCAGAGACAGACGCTTAGATGATAAAAATATGAAGACACACAGGAAGGAATTACTATAAAAGTCAATAGGAGTTACTTTGGGGAGGGTTGTGGATGGTGGTCACAAGATGTTTGCCTAATGGTGCTTTCAGAAATGTGTTTCATGTGTTTTTTTTCTGTATTTGTGCTTTATTTTCTAAAAATAGGTTAAAATACGAGTATTTAAAATAATATAGTGAGTACCATATTTTATTTGATGATAAAACTCCTTTTGATTATTGAAAATTACAAGGAATTCTTCCATAAATAAGCTTGTTTTCTTTGTTTAAACACACATGCTCTCACACTCAAAACTCCAAAATTGAATGCTCTGCCATACTGCAAGCCACGAGATAAGACATTGCTTCCAGGAGGAGTTGTTGTTCTGACAACCCCTGTCCTAAGTCAGTGCCTCTCCAGATACGTGTCCATTGATCTCACACCAATTCTGTCAGCCACAGGTGGCACCTTGGAGGCCTTGGCCCAATGGGAGTCTGGTTGTCCTCCCTGCAACACGGCCATTTCTTGATCCCTACTAAACATTATAAGAGGATGAACTGCTTTTTTACTTATAACTAATGTTTTGTTTGGTTCGGTCAAGAATATTTTAAGTTTTGACAAAACCCCCAGTGGAGCCTGAAACCGCAGATAGCAGTGAACATTATGTATACAGTGCTTTCTGGCTTCTTGTTGGTGTATCTGAATTGCTGGCATTCCTAGCCTTGTACTTTGTGGCTATTATTAAGGAGAATAGGGTTTCTTTTTTAATATTTATTTTTTAGTTGTAGTTGGACACATTATTTTATTTATTTATATGTGGTGCTGAGGATCGAACCCAGGACCTCGCACATGCTAGGCAAACACTCTACCGCTGAGCTACAACCCCAGCCTAAGAATAGGGTTTCTTGAATATAAGTGCTGTGATACCACGACAGACAATCGGATAACTGATATGGTTAATGAGTGACTAACAGGCAGGCAGTGCACGCCACATGGATACGCTGAACCAAGGGATGATTCATGTGTCAGGTGGGAAAGAGGGGGACAGTGACATTTCATCACACTATTCAGAATGGCAAGCAATTTAATTATTTATTTCTGGAGTTTTTCATTCAATATTTCAGACCATGATTGTCTAAGGAGATTGAAATCTCAGAAAACAAAACTTAAGATAAGGGGTGTGTGTGTGTGTGTGTGTGTGTGTGTGTGTGTGTGTGTGTGTTGTGGGGGTGGACTATGGTACCATGAAGAGAGATGGCCTGAACCATCAGGAGGCACCTGGGGGAATTGGAGACCAAGATCTAGTCGGCTGGCTACTGAAGCCTGTCATGTCCCTTGTATGTAGAATGTTAGAGATGTGACACTCTTTGGTTTTGTTGTTGTGAGTCATTGTGCAATAGAAATGTTTTATTCACTGAACCCCATGGACTCTTGAAYGTCAGGCGGGGTGCCTCCAGTGTGGCGCTTGCACGGCTCCTGTGTGGCTTTGAGGCTGCTGATGTCCAGTAGTGTGGAGCTCACTGTTTCCCTGTCCTCCAGAGGTTCCGTAGCACCATTCCTTCGTCCCAGGGAACAGCAAAGTAAAATTTGTGCTGAATCCTTTTGCCAGAGACAGGGGATACTCAATTTTAATACACACTCAGAAAACATTTATTTATAATCACTAGTAACAAATAATTCACTTGTAAACAGGAAAAATGCTGTAGTACTTTGTAACTCAAGTAATGTATATGCTTCTATCATTTCTTTGAATTTTTTTAAAAAAATATATACCTTTCATTTTTAAAGTGATAGAACTCTATCACAGAAAAACTTTAAAAATGAAAAAGTATTTCTCCATTCTCACCACTGTAATATTCTCATGGTTATAACTTCAGTACAATTCCTTCCAGTCTATTTTGGTGTGAATATTTTTATAGTTATAATAAAAACATGCATATAATTGTGTTTTTCCTTTTTAATTTAGCCTTAGATAATTATGGTATAATCACATGCATATTTCCATGTTGCAACATTATCACAACAGTAATTTTTTACTGCATTGAATTTAATTATTTGGCTCTATCATATTTTAAAACTATTAACCTATTTTTGGGTGGTAGATTTCCCCTCACATTTTAGCAAGTAGAATATTTTTGTATAATGTATGACTTCATGAACATCATATTATAGCTATTTATTGTTGCTTTGAATTTTAAAAATAGAATATTAAATGAGTGTCAAGAATGTCAGCAAACTAAATTTTCTTACAGCTCTGTCATTAAGTCTATCAAATCTGGCGATTGTGGAGTAGGAGGCATACATTCACTTACCAACTGTTGTTCATCTTAGTTACATGTGACTTAAAAAACCTGAGTACAGTGTGAGTGAGGCCTCTGTCTTGCCACCTCTAGAGATGGGCGTGTTACAGCAGTTGTACTGGGCAGTCCAGAAGCTTAGGGTGGAAACGGGAGTCCCTGTGTGTGACCCAAGGACATGAAGCAGTAGCTGTGCTTGTGTTCCTGGGGCTGGGCCTGTTGGGAGGACATGCTGCTCCCTGTTGAATGGAGTGGACTTTTGTGAGTGAGTTTGTGGTTGTTCCTTCCCTTCCTTCCCCCTGTCCCCCTCCATCTATTATATTCAGTAATAGAATTCAAAAGAATGGATGTGTGGGTAATAAGTGATTTATCACATGCAAATTTACAGTGACTTTAAAAATTTAAAAAAACTGAGCACGTATGCAAAACGGTCCATTGGAAATACTGCATCAATCTATGTTGATTTTGTAAGTTTCTCCATTAAAATCAGCAATGTAGTGCTACACTTGTTTGTTAAAATATTTGAAAAATATGACCAGAAAGCTGTTCATTAAATGAATTTCTATTAATTTATGAATTGAGTATGGAAATATTCATAAAATAGTTATCCTTTTACTGTGTCATTGGGAAGGGTATAGATGACCTGATTCCATTAAAATCTAAGGCTTTGTGAGTTTTTGTACAGTGAAAACAGAGACATCCTTACAAACAACTTTAAATGAAACTATTTTAAAGGTTAAGACCCCTCCTTCTTTACAAGACAAAGTCAAGCTCTGTGTCCTGGCCCATAGGCACTGCAGTGCACTGGGCACTCGCCTTGGAAGGGGATTAACCTGTACCTTCTGTTTTTTTAGGAATGGGCTGTTTCTGGGGGGCCGAAAGGAAGTTCTGGATCCTGAAGGGAGTGTATTCGACTCAAGTGGGCTTCGCAGGAGGCTACACTCCCAACCCCACTTACAAGGAAGTCTGCTCAGGTAGGAGGACTGTGCTGTGTGTTACTGGGAGGGACAGGCCTGTCTTTGCCGGTGCACAAGAGCCTCTTCAGCATGGAAATAGCAGTTATGTTTAATATTTCCTTGGGCTTCCCTTTACCATCCCTGTGAATATACTTGTTTGCTTCTTTTACATTTTTAGAAGATAACAAACTTCCTCTGGGAGGGATCATTTAGCCTTTGCTGTTGGTCAACCACCCAGAGCCCAGTAGCTTCCAGCTTGCTGTGCCCTCTAGGCTGGGAGCACCAGGCTCTTTCTCCAAGGCTGCAGTCCACTGTGGGCTGCTGGGACTGGCCGCTCTTGGCCGCGTCTGGCAGTCGGTGCTATTGGCTGCATAATGGGGACGGGGGTGTGGCACGCTGGACAGGGCTAATCCACACAGTGGTGGATGCAAGGACCCAGGAACAGCAGGAGGGCAGGAGCCCCGTTCTCTGACTCTGGCACACTTGCTGCTGTCCCACTGGCCAAAGCAAGTCCCATGGTCTAGCCCAGGGTCAGTGTGAAACAAGAGACCAGCCCAGGCAGGATTCAGGGACACAGGGGGGTGAGGAGATCACTGCAACGACCCCCCTCGTGGCTCAAATGGCTCAGGTAAAAGGCATGWTTTCTGGAGGGAAAAATCGTGAAAAGCCACACTATCACGCAGGGATCCGCAAACTGCAGCCCGCAGCCCYGCAGCCCATGCCCGCTCCCTGTGTGATTATGTAAATAAGGTTTTGTTGAAACACAGCAGTGCCCAATTTTAAAAACATGTTATCTGTGAACACTCTCCTGCCACAATAGCAGGGTTGTGTGGTGACCACAGACACTGTATGGTCTGAAGAGCCCGAGATGTTTACTCTCCGGCCCTTTACAGGAGGGGGGGGGGAAGAGGGAAAAGGAAAAGAGAGGAAAAGGAAAAGAGAGAGGGAAAAGAAAAATGCAAAAAAAAAAAAAAAAAAGGAAGAGGCAAATGCCCCCTTTGGAACATTCTAGTTCAGTGCCAGCTTACCTCTCTGGATTTGTTTCTGGCCTTTATGAATTCCCTTTTATTTCTTGCCAGCTCAGGTAGTATGAAGGCTCATTTTTTAACAGAATATTTTGTATCCTATCCCAACTGGGAAGGTCAACTAGGTCTGCTGTCTGACACATTGACACAAATGAAATTTAAGAGTTCACAAGCAGCTTTATCTTTTAAAGTAAGCACTGGTTTCAAAATTAAACCAATGCTTACGCAGAGCTATAAATAGGTTCAGATGAACTGGGGAGATTGCCCAGGTGTATCCTCTCAAGTCTTAGGAATGAAAATGAATGGATTCCTTCCTGTGGATCCAGGCATGCCTTATCATCCTACGATGAAACTGTGGCTTAGAAAACCCCAGAATGTCCATTGCTTGTGCTGTTATCCTCATCTTGCAAAATGATGATGATCAGCCAGAATAGTGTGATTGACTGTTTGCTCAGACTCCCTCAGTTCACGTCTACCTTAATGACAACATGACAGGTACAGTGAGTTGAACTCCTACTATGTGCCAGGCACTTTTTATGTCTTTCATTTTTCCAGACAGTTCTCCCATGAGGCCTGTTGATTTCCATCTTTTACAGAGGGAGTGTTGAGGCTCAGAGAGGATAGGTTCCTCACCCAGGGTGCTCAGTGGCTGGAATTCCCACTTGGTTTGCTCTCAGCTCAAAGTTTACGCCATTGCCATGGTGTGAMTCTCCTGTCTGCTGCTCCGCGCCAGCCCTTCTCCATTCATCTCCACACACTCCCTGCACCAAGTCACAACCCCTCTTTCAGGTCTATCCCTCTTCTGCAGTTTTAGATATATTAATGTGTGTTTGAATGATCACTGTAGGAAAATACCAAAGAATTTTTTTGACCTTCTGATGTTTAGAAAGGAAATAACCAAACCCTTTAAGATGTAGCTCATGCAAACAGCTGGCGTTAGAGGTCTGTGGCGATGGGTGGAGATGGGAACTGTGGAGGCTAGTAAAGTGTGATGCCAACACTCCTGCTAAGTTAGCGGTGGCTTCAGGAAGTGTGGTTGCCATGGAAACTTGCTCCTGATTGGAAAGAGGTACTTACTGGGTCTAACCCAGACATGGAAGGAGAGATGGTTTCTTTCCCCTGAATTTGTTGTTGTTGTCCTGATCATAAAAGGGGTAACAAGAGGCTATGATAGAGTGGTTCCTCTGGCTCAGGATGGTAGAGGCTTCAAATCCCTGGGAATATCAGGGAAGGAGAAATAAAGTCCCCAGCTAGAGGAATTATGGTAACCATCTAAATACAGATTTCTGACTGAGGAGAGGAGTGCAGGAGACAAAAGTCAGGTGGCCTGTCAGGCCTTCCCTACCTCTGCCCCCTCATGCACAAAGCCTTGCCCAACATGTTGGGGAAACCAGACTCTGCTAAGGGGTGTAATAATTGCTGAGGTTCAGTGTGGGAGAAACTCTAGTCTGTCCCAGTACTTGCATCCATTTCAAAATTGCTTACTCTTGGGTTGGTCAAACTTTGATCACAACCTATGAATATTTTGTAAAGATTTTTGTTTTTGATTTTTACTTTTTCAAGAAAAGAACTGTAAGGAGAAGAACTATTGTAGGCAAATTCCTTCTATTTTGTGGCAGCACATTGGAGCCAAAGGTACCACTTGGTTTCTTGGGTCAGGAACCAGTTTATGGAAGGGGGCTGTGAAAACCCCTCCCTGATCTCTCAGGGGATGAGCTGTCAGAGCCTCCACGGGACTGTGGGCGTGCAGATGGGCGGCCCTGAGCCCAGGAGCCAGGGCTCCAGTTGGCCAGGCACCCTGCTCATGGGTGTGCACAGCCCGGCGGGCCTGGGTGAATGYGTCTGCGAGCAGAAGCATGAGGTCAGCTAGCACCCCCTCGCCTCCAGTGGTGTCTCCCTGTGAAGACTGAGGGGCCTGAGACCGTGAAACCCAAGACAGAGTCTCCATCAGGCACCTGGAAAAGATGTACAACTTCTAGGAACAGATGAGAGGGGGGTGGCCCCAGCAGTGACACATGGTGAAGTTGACTGTTGTTTTAATTAGCTATTKTGCTGCTGTGACTAAAAGACCCACCAGAACAATTATAGAGAAGGAAAGTTTAYTTGAGGGCTCATGGTTTCAGAGGTCTTAGTCCACGGAAGGCTGGCTCCATTCCTCAGGGCTCAAGGTGAGAAAGAACATCCTGGCGGACGAGTGTGGCAGAGGGAAACAGCTCACATGCTGATCAGAAAGCAGAGAGACTCCACTAGCCAGATACAGATATATATACCCCATGGCCCCACCCCAGTTCCCACTTCCTCCAGCCATGCCCTACCACTTCAGTGACCACTCAGTTAATTCCATCARGGATTAATTCACTAATTGAGTTAAGACTCTCATTWCTCCTCTGAACCATTTTGCATTGGCTCACATGCAAGCTTTTGGGGGACACCACATCTAAACCATGACAACTGTCATCTAAGCAAGATGCCTGTTGCATGTCRGGCACCTCCATCCACACATGTGCCTGGAGCCCGACGTAGGTGGAAGACAGAAGGAGCTCACATTTCCTGATGTTCACAGTAATGTTGCCCATTGGGAGAGAGCATGAAGATGCTGCCCTGAGTCAGAGTGGAGCACTCCCCTGCTATGTGGGTGGGGGGACTCAGGAGGAGGTTGGTCAGCCCAGGGGAGGGGACRGAGGCCCCAGTGGCACCCTCTGGGATACTCTGGGAAGACCCTACCACCTGACATCATGACACTTTGAAATTATATCACTAACCTCTTGTTCTGATCCACTCTGTAGAATCTTCATTTTTTGTCTTCTGGTGGTGATTGTATACAGCAAGAAAATGCAATGAGAACAGATCAGTCAGGCAGACAGTTCTAATTCTCTTTCCAAATTCAATAAAATGTCACTCTGAGATGTATATCTCAGTCTATTGTGAGTTTAGTCTGCATGGGTCATTCTCTTCAAATTGGATTAACCTTGGGTGGAATTGAATGATAAAAATGGAATTTGGGCCTTCAAAGCTGAGAGCCAAAAGCCAGACCTCCATGATTTTCCAAAGGCTGTGATTGCCTCCTTGCATTTCCCTGGAGATTCCCCATCTCTCTAGTTGTCGATAATTTCATTGGAACCTGACTTATTTATTTCCCTACTTACTTACAAACCTGTTTTAAAAATGGCCATTCTCATGTAACAAGTGTGTAAGCTTCGTAAGCTTCCGTTCCTTGAATCTGTCAAATATGAGCCTGTAAGGCACAGGCTGAGAACKATTCCTCTCCAGGGTGTTTCAGGGCTGAGTGTGAAGCCTTCTGAAAGCTGCCCTGCTGCCCTAAATCAGGCCCTGGCCTTGACTTGATGGAAGGTAGCCAGCAGACCTGCTTTCCATGGGGCTTGTGACCTGTCTCTAGGAGACATGCTGAGAGGTTCTTCCCTAGAATGACTTGCTTGTATTCCTATGAATAAGGTCTCTCCCTGGCACTCAGGAGTTCAGAACCTGGAGTGCACAGCGCGAGAGCTTCACAGAGGTATTCCTTTTTTTTTTTTTTTTTTTTTTAAAGAGAGAGAGAGAGAGAATTTTTTAATATTCATTTTTTAGTTTTCAGTGGACACAACATCTTTATTTTTATGTGTGGTGCTGAGGATCGAACCCAGCGCCCCGCGCATGCCAGGCGAGCCGGCTACAGCTTGAGCCACTTCCTGAGCCCCAACACAGAGGTATTCTTAAGTGAATGGCGCTGCCTCATGGGACTGCGCTTGCGCAAGATGCCGTGTTATGAACTGATGTTGAGAGCACCGGTTCCTCCATCCAGGCTTCTTTCTCCAGAGTCAGACAGAAGCTTGGTTTTCCATGTTTGCTTTAAGGAGTTGTGCTGGCCCTGGTTTCCTCTTCTCTCTCTCTCTCTCTCTCTCTCTCTCTCTCTCTCTCACACACACACACACACACACACACACACGTGCTCACACACGAGCTCCCTCAAACGGTTGTTATGCAAACCAACTGATA